CCGTGCTCTGTAATCAGCTGACACTGCAGCTGTCGGAGAGTCAGAAGCAGCTGGATGTGGCCCAGAAGGAGGCCCAGGCACACAAGGAGGAGCTCGCACAGGTGACTTTACTCACCTAACCTGCTTTCCTATCCTTCAGACCAATATTTTCCACAGTCGTATACCAGTCTCACTGAGATGACACGTAGCAAGGAATTCCTGGAAATCCCTCGTTTGATCTACAAGCTACAGCGTCTTTGGCATGGAATGGAAATGTGTGGATGGGTTGGTTATGTAACTAGTGGTGGTTTCATGTTTCAGGTCAGAGAGCAGGTGGGCGAGATCACGATGCGGGCTCAGCAAGAGCAGAATGGCCCATCTGAGGCTCAACCAAGTCAGGTCAGGGTGCAAAGGTCACAGTGCACCCTTCACTTCCGGTCAGAGAGTTCTGGACAGAAACTCTGAACACTTTTCCCTATTTGTTTTGTAACAATTCTTTGTAGAGAATTTCCTAAAAGTAAACATTGATTTCATTAAGATATTTTCTTTATGATCTGGTTTAACACTTGGTCCAACCCCCTGTCCTAAGTCAAGGATGTGGTCACGGTACACGTATACTCAGTGACGCGTCCTGACAAAGGGCTGCAGTTCCAGTCCGTCCAGAATTCCTCTGACATAGCTGCTGTTTATGCTAACCACTGTTTGCATTGACTGAGTAGACATAACTCTAACCAATGCTTTTTTCTCACCTTTTTCAGCATGCTCACTTTTGTTTTCAGATATTTGTTTGTATGATTCCTAACATCAACAGAAGATTTGTGCTAGCCTTCCGTCTGAAATAGTCTGAGAGGCCAATAACTCGGGACACAGGACGAGCAGCTTTTGTGTGTGTGTGTGTCGTGCTGCTGCTTTTGCACAACAGTGTTTGCATACACCTGCATGCATTAGCCTTTGTTGGTGAGTGTGTATTTATTCTTTTCTTTTTTTTCTTCCATTAGTTCCAAAATAAGTTGAGTCAGACAACGGAGAAGTTGCAGGAGGAGGTGTCTCACAGACAGCAGCTTTCGGAGGAGTTTGAGCAGGTATCAGCCATTGTTCATGCTCTTTTCTTTGTTTTGATTTTTGTTGGTCTAGTCACACCCGAGGGTGACTAATAAATGCTGTGACTAACATGAATTTGTGTTGTTATCAACCTCTAGGCTCAGAAGACTATAACAGACCTTCAGGCTCAGTTGGATCTTCTGAATGTTTCTGCTGAGTCACCAGAATCTGACACAGAAGATGTTGCACAGCTCACGGTGCGCTAACCAATAACACCTAGAAAATGTTTCACTGTGATAGATGCTTTGTGTATTTAAATACTGTTCACTTTCAGTACAATTCATCCAGAACGGTCATTGATCAGAGCTTTATGTTTTTCTCAGCAGTAGGTCATAAAGGTCTGTACAGCACTGATCCTCACTAATGTTAAAGAGCCTCAAGTTTTCAATATAAAAAAAATACATAATGAAAGACAATAATATGAATAAATATTTAACCACGAATTTGAGCATAATTCAAAACGTTGCTCATTCCTATTACATTGAATTGTTTACAATTGAGTTGTACAAGTCCGTTTTTTACTTTGCACTATTTTTCCTAATGAATCTTATATTTCATAATGCCAAGTTTATTAGGAATAACTGTTGTATAAAATCTAAATGACCTGCAATTAACTCTGAATGGAAGCATGGAAAAGTAACATTTCAGAAAAATGAACTGAGCTTTACAGTATTTCACAGTTTTATGGTTACTGGAGTTTGGCTTTATTCTACGTCTTATTAATTTTGATATTAAACATCTTCATTTTGAGTCTCCTGTTTGCTGTGTGCTTTGAAATAACGAATGGTACTGCTGTTGGAACAGGAGCGCCTGGAGAAAGAGAAAAAGCTGTCCAAAGACCTCGGCCAGGCAGCCACCAAGCTCCAGCAGCTTCTCAAGGCCACTCAGGAGCAGCTGACCAAAGAGAGAGAAACCGTGAGAACACTACAGGAGCACCTGGAAGACAAGGTGGAGACACCTGAAGTGGTAAGGCTACTCACACACAATTCTAAGCTCAAACTTTCTTAGCATGCTTGGCGATTTTGACACTATATTTCTGTTTTTCAAGGGGGAATATGTGGAGCTGAAGGAAGGAACTTCTGTCTGAAAAGGAAGTTCACTGCAGACACTACAAAAAGAACCTGCCAAATAAGCCTTATGATTACCATAGTTATGCATTCCAAAACTATTACTTTCTTGTACTGTAGTTGATTGCATTTGTTGCAACTGTAGGAATCAAGTGTTTGATATTATGAACATTTCAAAGTAAGATTAGAGGAGATGATCCTGCTACGATCTTCATTGAAACCCACATTCGATCAAGACATTCTGGCTATGTCAGAAGTTATTTATCCCCCTGCCTTATATTCCAGACATGTACCCATAGTTCAGTGTTAAAAAGGGAAACCGATTGTACGTCAAACGTACATCAACCTGTGCAATTACTTTGTATGTCTTTTCTATGTGGTTGAATGATGGGAACATTTTATGGTTCAATGTTTCATTCACTTTTAGAGCCTGCTTTCTTCTTAACTGGCTGCCAATTACACACATCAATTTGTATGAATGAATAAACTACGATGTAGCTCTATTTCCCGTTCAGTGAATGTGCAATGAGTGCAGGCGGTAGGCCTACGCAAAGTTAAAGTTGGTTATTGTGTGTATGTTATATTTTTGACAAAGCTTCAGATCTGGTGTGCATTGAACTGTTAAACCTGCAAATACAGTAGCCTAGATCGGCCTCATGATACTTAAAACATAGACTGTGGATTACTACACTGTCATTTTAAATTGTAAACAATCCTGCCAGGTTAAGAAAAGGCTGTGTAGCCTATCCGGAAGAGGTTTTGATAGGAAGTATGACAACGCAGCAACATCGCATCATACAGACACATGAAGGTCATAAACTAACCAGAGTAGACCCAATCAATCTCTATAGGCCTATCCTTCAATAACAGGACTGACTTTTTTTTAAAGCCTGTTTTAAAAATGCGTCATTTCCTAAAGCTTACCGAACAGTTTCGGTCGCATGATTACAGACGAGGAAGTATATAACTAGGTGGAGTTATTTTTGCGGGTCTCTTCAACAACCATGTATGGCTTTGTTTCTGCACAATGTTTGTCTGTCATCCTCCCGCCCACACAAGCGTAATTTTCGGGCAAATATCAGGAAGATTTTTAATACGGAAACGAGCGTGTGTAAGGCGGATGTGGTGTTCGTCGACAGCGGGGACTACCTTCCTCAGGATGCCACTGCAAACAGGTTTCCCTCAATTTGGCTTGAATTTCAATAAACACCTAATTGAGACGACTCAAGTTGGCTGATTTGCGGTGCATTTCACTCGTTCAAACCTGTGAAATTAATTCTAGTTTAAACCAAAAATGCCAGTAGGCCTAGAACATTTGAAACGGCTATTCCCGTGCTATGGCAATAGTTGGTGCAACAATAGACACAAGTAAAAAAAGAAAACTGCTTTATAATTACCAGATAAACACCCTAAAGTCGAAATGGTGGCCAAATGAGCATTTATTCACTTGTAAACAGAATTGTTCAACTTAACGTGAATGGAATAGCTACTACCTTTATATTTTTGGAAGTACAACCGTTTACATGACTTTATGGTACACATTAAGCCACAGCCTATAAGCCGATTTAGTCGAGGCATAAAGACTGGGAACTGTACAGTTACTGAACTGAATGGTGGCAAAAGTCCATTAATCTATCATAGTGTAAACATGTTGGTTCTTTGTGGGCAGGGTCCTGGACCAGTAATTTCATGGAGTCTCTGCTGGTTGCCTGTTAACAGGATTCTTCTACCGGCCCAATCCCAAACCACTCCCTCGACCCTACCCCTCCGTGGCGGAGTGAACTCCGTCTGTAGCCACACTCGCAGCTCAACGAGGCTCCCTCCTGTCATTTTTTTTAACTCTGCTGTGTAGTAAATACAGCGGCAAGCTTTGGGACAAACTCCCCTCTCTCCGGCAGAAACAGGAAATGCCGTAACTGTATGTAACAACGGTTTCAAATCAGCATCTCTTAGACAAAAAATGTAAATTAAGAACTCAAATAAAACTCCAAACATCTTTCATTGTGTTACTTTTTTGTAAAGCTCTTTTAGTTTTAAACCTGATGTTTATAAGCTTCTTAGTTTTTGCAACAGTCTGTAAATATACACAACTTTATAATAAAATGCACACATTTACCTTTTTCTAGACTAAACACAGGTATGATCCTAAGTTAAAAAAATATGAGGTTATCATGAGGTTGTTAACATCGCAATTTATCAGTGGATGTTTGCTGGAACTACTTGTAAACAGCGTGTTTCCTGACGGACACACACAGCGTGACTCCGGTCAGGTAGAGACCAGTCTCAAGTCAGCACCGATGCAGACTCGCTGTTTGAGGGCTTGATAGCCCACTCCCCCTCCACACTCGTTGGTTTGGAACAGCACTTAATGTGGCGGACCCTCCGCGCGAACGCGCAAACGGAGGGGTAGTGTGTAGGGGTAGGGTGTAGGGCGTGGTTTGGGATTGGGCCACCTTGATGTCATTAGGTCCAAAGTCATGGCTGCAATCATATGTGAAAGAAGAGTTAAAACTTTTTTCTGATTTCTAGCAACTGAAAATTTGGAACGAGCTACCTGATGTTTTTTGTAAAATTAGTATTATAGTCCCATTCAAATGTACTCAGTTTCCAATACATTTATTATGAACATTATCACTTTCAGTGGTTGGTAAAACGCAAGCTAAACCTTAAAACCCGGGTTATCCGAAAGTCATCAGGCCAACAAAGATAACCTCCCGAGTCTGACACTAAAAGGGAGGGAGAATCCTTTTGAAACACATCCAGGTGCTAAGACCAACCCCCAGCTACCTGCTAATTATAGCCTGATCCTTACCTGCTTTAAGTGAGAGAAGAAATAAGCACACCCATGCCAAATCGGTTGAATAGAGTTTATTTGACAATACACAGAGTCCAACAGCTGCTGCATTTTGACTTTGTAAAAGTACCATTTATATGCGTTTATCAAAGTGTAACAGTCTAGAAAAAAACATCAAGTATAGAATGGTTATTTTAAAGAATGAATACAATTACATCTCAACAAGACTAATTTCACAACCAAACTGGTGTGACTGGACAGTTTATAGGGCACATTTGTTTGTGTTACAGGAATGGAATCCAATCCTTCCCTTTAAGTTTTCTTGGACCAATTCAAAATACACAGATAATTTGGAAATGTTGCATTTATCTACTCAAATCCCTTCCAATGCACCGTGCCTGAAACAGGGGAAAGGTAGTTTGTTTAATGACCCTATGCTGCGTTGCCCTCAAGTTTTGATACTTTTTGTTTTAGGCGATCTGTGAAACAGTCAATGTCCATATCTTCAATGTCATTCACCTCCAGAACATGCTTGACACCTGTTGAAGAAATAAGAGTAACTTAAAACAGAGGGAACACCATTCCACTAGAACTATATGTAGAGTCAATTAAATGTGATAAAAACATTCAAGCAGAAAAATAAACCCAACTTACCCTGCGTAGTCTTCTGGATAGCAGATTTTGAGCTAGCATACTGCATTCTACCTTTGAGTACTGAAGTGCCAGGAGCCCTGAGGGGAAGAATAATTCCACATTAGTCTAGTGTCGCACCTTCACTTTAGGATTCTCACACAATAATATACATCCATAGAAAAAGCTCTCAAATACATGTGAGGATTTTACAAAGATAACATTGTTAGTCCTTCTCTACAGGGTTTATACATTTAAGAGTATTTAGGGCTTAAATTAAAGTACAAAGACCTACCACATCATAAAGACCAGTTCCTCTTTTTTAATGCCTTCCTTGGTTTCAAAGTGGCAGTCGTACAAGAAGTAGCGGCACTGATCAGCCAGCATCAGATTCTTGACGAACTTGTAGACATCTTCCACGTCTTCCAGATCTTTTTGCCGGTAGATTTTCTCCACTTTAATTTCCACGTCGATATGAAGTACCACAATTCTTATCCGTTCCTTCTCGTCATCATCACTTTTCACTACTTTCATGGCATTGAAGATCTGCTTCACTTCGTCAGCGACTTTTACTCCAGACGCCTGTTTTGAGAAGACACAAAACATTAGATATTTAGCACAAAGAAAATATACACGTGTTGTCACATTTGAAATGTGTCCAATGTTTGACACATTTTTGATTACAGAGATATCGTAAGAGACAAAAACAATCAATACAATGCAGTTAAAATTGATACAGATGGGTAAGATGTTGTATTTTGAAAATGAGAACTACAAATCAAAGAGTAGATGTAAGTGGATGGATTTCATTTAGATTTATTGACTGGCAAGTTCCGCACCAAATCTTATTTTAAAGATAAATGTTCATAGTCTTGTAAAATGATATTAAATTAAATAAAGACCACAGTATGAGCACTTTAGTGAGATGTGGGTCTTGGCTCCTGTATGAGCAAACTTTGTTCTCTCATACTTTGAGACAGAAAGCAGAACTGAAGAGATTAAGAAACAGGAAGTTCTTCAAAACTAGGCTTTAGGGAGAATTGTTAACACTACTAATGCAATTTAATTTGCAAATATTCCATCAGCTTTCAGCAGTAGCATGCCGTGCTGTAGCTTCCCTATGAATTTGTAAAGGCCTTGGCTCTGTCAAATTCCAGTCATTGTGGAACAAGTTAGCACAAGAAAGACCGCCCCAAGGGATTCTCTCTGAGTTTGAAGCACGGACAAAGCTCCCTCCATTTTGGAGGCAAAACCACACCTTGAGCATGCCCTTTCAAATTCCAAACTCTCTTTTCACTCAGCAAACTATTCACTCATAGAAACATCAAATGAACATCTTACACTCTGTAGATATAATGACAACCAAGCTTCACTGGTGTTCAACGTTTTACATGCTGAAATGAGTGTGTTACTTCAAAGTTTCATCATCTCTACATGCATGTGCTTTGGGGCACACATAAGTTGTTAAATGCCACAGCGCAAGGTAATCCTGCCATATTCTTTGTGAAAGGTACTCACCATTTTGCTTGTGATGTGTGAAGGAAACAGGCAACTGAGAAAAAATGGCAGCAGCAGTCAAAATGCTGAAGGGTCATAAGGAAGCAGAGCAGGTTGACTCATAGAGGAGGAGCTGGGCTGAAGACACCACCTCCAAAGTAGCCCATCCCCCTCTTCCCAGGTGTGTGAGACAGTTTCAGCTGCAACCTCAGCATTTGCATTTATTCACATTACATTTGATGCCTAAATCACATTAGATTTATGGGCTTCATTGTCCATCACAATTAAAAACATTTTAGTCACACTTTCCATCATCAGTTAGGTAGAGACAGAGGCCTTCCTTTTTAATGCAAACACCAGGTGAGCTTGAGTCACTCACCGGTGGGCGCGGCACAAAACACCCTTATATGGAGAACAAACCTGTCCACATACTTAACTTATCTGCTGCTGAGACGCAGCTCAGTGGCCTTATAAGGTAAAAAACAAAGGATGAGTGCTCAAGTTAAGTCAAAGGATGTATCAATCTACCTTAGGAAAATTGAGACGTTACGCCTCCATGAGATTCCAATTGTCGTAATAGTGTTGATCTCCAACACTTAGATTTCCACTAAACACAGTAAATATTCAACAGATTTATATACTAACAACAATCTGGACAATATTAACTTCAAGTGTATGTTTTAATTTGTCAACATAGTTCCTGATGTTTTTCATTTTCTGTAAAGAGTGATGAGTCAGTGCAGTTTACATGATTCACAAAAAGTAACGCTGGTGCACATTTCTCTATAACATAATCCAATAATTTAAACTTTTGTTCTAAATAATTTAAATGTCAGTCAAATATAAAAAAAATTGAGTTAGTACTTTAGAATATTGAGGGATCACGCAGACTGGACAGGATTTTCCTAGCACTCTTGTAAAGGAATCAATGTATAGTTTGAAATGTGCAATGTAATGCTGCTGTCTGCCTCAAGACCATACTTTTTTGCAGGCATTAAATAAAAATACTACAAATATCAATGAACAAAAAGATAATAGTCTAGTCTATCTAGTTAAATTACAGCATTTTATTATTATCCATGGCACACTAATGTTCTTCCTCATTTTTAGATGATGGATAGTCCAGAAACGTATTCAAAACTCTTCTTTTGAAACAGCATTCAATAGATACCAAACGCTTCCTCCACAGTGACTATTTTTAAATAGAGATACTCTGCTTCAGCATCACAGTGGCTTTGCTTCTCCTGTGGGGCTCAGTGGCTCACAGAGTCAGAGTCCCGCCCACATCCGGACTACTGTCTGTTTCAAAAGCAGAGTGCATAAATGTCAGCACATGTCATAGCTTGCCTGCTTACATTTACACCACACGTTGCAAGCCTTGGAATCTGTGACTTGTTAAGAAAAACTGAAATATCCTGTATATATGTTAAATAGTTGAAAGCCTGTTAAGCAAAAGTATGATAGTTAGGTATATAAAGCCATCTTTTGGAAGCCTAAAGTTTTTATTTTTTATTTGTTTTATCATAATAACTAAGGTAAGGCCTGTCTGCCAGTTCTAATGGTAGCGTGTTCATGGTAGTAAAAGGGGAAATAAAACCCTAAACCACACGGAGCAGGAAATGGCTGCTGCATAACTCTCTGTCAGTCGAAAACTTCATGCTGCTGCAAGCACATTGTCAATTTGGCCACAACCCGTTCAGTGACGTTGAAGCAGCAAACCTAAGTCTATGAGAACTCTGACATCTACTGGTAAATTACAAAACCTGAATTGTTCATCTGTGTTTGCTTTGTGTAACATGGGGTGTCTGAATCTCTTGTATGTTTAGGGATAACTAGTTTGAGGAAGGAAGAAATGTGAGGAGACGATTTGCATTTGCTAGCTCAACAGAGCCCAGATTTATTACCTCACCACAGCAACAGTTAACCTGAGGTTGAGGTGTCCCCAATAAGGCAACTCAATCAGGGTGGCTAACCTGCCGCTTCTTTGAACTTCACAAACACAATGTAGCAATTTGCACATATAACCCCTTTGGCCAAGCATGTAGATACTGCTCAGCCAATAACCAACTGTGGTGGACACCTCCCTCAATAAAACCACAGCTACACATTACTCATAAGCAAGAACTAATACCCAGCATTACAATATTTTTGCAACCATCTCCCTTTCTTACTGAAGCGTCTATGTTTGAAAGGCTTGAAAGCTCGCTAAACTTGCAGATGTGTTCAGTTTGTCAATACTGACATTTGTTTGCCTAAACTAGCTATCATATGTACGTCTAATTGGACAAGCATCTAATTTTGTTTTAGATTTATAGTGACTATTTTTCAAAAAAGATAAAGGGTACCATAACATAGATGGGTTTGCCTTTTTTGAGGATATTTAATGCAAATGGCACCATGTATAATTTCATTAAAATGAACCCTACAAATTGTTGAAGGGCCCCCGCCCACCTCATGGGCCCTAAGCCTGCACTGCCTTTTATTTACGTCCTTTTATGGCTGTAGAATAACAAGAAATGTGGAAACAATTACAAGAAAAAAACACCAAAGTTCCATTAAGAATGTTAACGAATGAATAAAGTTACACCCGGATAAAACTATTTTTTAAAGCCAAAACAGTGTGCTTGGACAGTTTGGAGGGGTACAATCACTTGATTTCGGAATTGTTGCTATCATCCCCTAACATTCCTTAAAATGTGCCTTGTTATGAAAAATGGGAGTAGCAGTTTTGTTTAATTACCCCTCAAAGGGTGCCCCTCCATTTTGAGAACGTTATGTTTAAGGCGTTCTGCGAAACTATCCGGCTCCATATCTTCAACGTCATGTATCTCGAAGATATGCTTGACACCTGTTGAAGAAAACATAGTTACTTAAAACAGATGAAACTCCATTCAACTTGAACTGTAAAGTCAAGCGTAATGAATGTGATAAAACATTGAACAAAGCAGAAAAAAAACTTACCCTGCACAACCCTGCACATAGCACTTTTTGAGCTAGCATACTGCATTCTACTTTTCATAGGTCCATTATCAGGAGCCCTGAAGGGAAAAATAATCTTATTAAGTGTCCCACAGAGACTTTACTTCAAAACATTCAAACACGTTTCCATAGGATAAGAGTAGACTTTAGGATAAAATAGGATTTTACAAAGTCCTTCTCCTTCTAAATACAGAGTATTTAGGCTTCAATAAAAAAACAAAGACCTACCACATCATAAAGATCAGTTCCTCTTTTCGACCTGACTCCTTGGTGTCAAAGTGGCAGTCATACAGGAAGTAGCGGGACTGGTCCGGCCGCATCAGATCCTTGATGAACTTGAAGACATTGTCCACGCCTTCCAGATCTTTCTCTCTGTAAATGTTCTCCACTTTAATTTCGCCATCAATCCAAAGTTGCACGATTCTTATACGTTCCTTCTCATCATCGTCGGTTTTGACTACTTTCATGACATTGAAGACCTGCTTCACCTCGTCAGCAACTTGTACTCCAGACGCCTGTTTTGAGAAAAACACAAAACATAATATATTTTGCACAACGAAAATAATAAACCTGTCACATTTAAAATGTGTCCAATATACAAACATTTTAAGTTATAGACAGATCACAAGAGTAACACACAAAGTTACTCTGACCTAAGATTTTCATCGTCATAACTACATTGTAGCTATGTAGCCTACGCATGACCAATAAAAGCCTTGAACCTTGAACCAAAGACAAATTTGAAGAAATGCCTCACGGTTGTATGCCTCCACCAACCAGCCATTTACAGTACATCGATGTCTGTCTAAAATGTGATCACTCTGTTCATATTTCCTAATAGACATTTCTGTGAAATTGTCATAATTATCATGGATTCTTGTGTTATGGCCAAAAACAATGCTTTGTGAGGACATATTGACACTTGACCAACAATAATACTTTTTTCATCCCTGGGACCAAGTGAACATTTGTGGCAAATTTGAAAACTGATTTAAGTTTACCCATTTGGATAGGATTTTGTGTGTTCAAAGCGTCTAGTACTAACCTGTGTAACAACAGCTAAAGATACTTTGCTGATCAGAGATGGGGTTAACTGTGGTTCAATTTAAGCTAACTGTCAATGCAGGCCCTGCTGGCTCTGCTCCCCAGCAGTCTCCCCAGCAGCCTCCCAGCAGTGGTGAGGATGAGGCAAGGGTATGAGTCGTTTTTCCTTTTTCTACCTCCCATTTCATTATAATTTAAAAAAAACTTGCAAAACGTTTTGGGACCATTGCAAATCTCAGGTCAGCTCCACCCTCTCATTCTCTAAACCTAGGGCTGTCTGGGGATACAGAGACTCACCATCACCTCTGGAGGAACATCTGGTACTACAAGACAGGCCATACCAGGGCTAAATGGTTAGCATGCTTATTTCCGTAGATATCTCTGGAACCCAATCCATAGACGTCCTGGAAATAACGTCAACTCTGTAACCTCTTCACATTCTCTTGGGTTAGATATATTTTGTAATGCTTTCAACTACAATTCAGGCCAAATCTGACACATTAGCACATTAGCTGCAGTGCTCCATGCTAGGACCCACCTCCCCTGTTGGACCATTTTGAGTCCCGGGTGGGAGAAGGAACTGACGTCTAAAAGTATAACGCCAAGGTAAAAATTACAATCATATTATTTCGACACTGTAGCTAGCTATTCTATTGTCATTAGCAAAGCAAAGTTAACATTAGCCCAACAACCCAATTAAAAAAAATCTGAATTGAATAATTCAAGTTTATGTTACCTAACTTTATAAGTTACAGCTATGTCGAAATATTAAAGTTGGATTTTATATAATAAAATATAATATGGGACATCATGTTAACATTCTTTATTAATAAGGAATAATAAGAAAAATAAAACAGACAAGATTTTCCGTGATGAAGAAGCGTTCCCAGGATCTGAAGTAGGTCATAGCCTGGTGCTCTGCACTGGGAAGCTATTGATTCAACATGCAAATAAACCAGCTTTGAACTAACAACATGCCATGGGTTTTGTCATATTCTAGTCATTGTGAAACCATTTGGCACAAGACGACCAACAAGCAATTATTTCGTAACAAGTTTTAAGCACGAACAAAGCACCACACCTTGAGCAATCCCAACCAAATAGGTTT